GACATTACTGGAATTAAAGCAACTGGCCTATAGTTCCCTAATTCGCCCTTATCACCTTTTTTGTAGAGAGGTTTTATTACTGTCGTTTTTAACTCTCTTGGGAATATCCCTTGTTCAATGCATTGATTTATAATGTAGCTTAAAGGAGGGGAAATAATATCACATACATACTTTAACACTTTTGTGGATATTTCATCTTCACCAGTACTACAAGTATTTTTTAGATTTCTAATGATTTGACATATTTCAAAGTGATCAGTGGGTTTCATAAAAAAAGATTTGGGGGAATTGAAATTGCACGTGTTTTTAAACACTGTGCTATAAGGTTTAAGTGTCTTTACCTGGTCAATGAAATTATCATTAAATATTTGAGCTATGCTTTTTGGATCTGTGATGCATATTCCGTTTACTACGATTTTACTTACTGTTGCCTTTGGATTTATCTGCTTGTTATTATTGATGATATCCCATGTTGCCTTTGATTTGTTTGCCGATGTATATATGTAATGATTGTTTTGCGATTTTTGAGTTAACTTAATTATATGGCTGTATCTTTTTGAATATAATTTAAATATTTGCTTATCGGAGGAACTTTTTGTTAATCTATATCGCCACAGAAGCGATCGTTTACGCTTACTACATTTTTTAATGCCCCTAGAGAGCCATTTTGGTCGCACTTCTGTCCTAAATTTCACTTTGACTATTGGAAAACATAGATCATAAAGTAATTTGAATAAATCATAGAACCTAGAGAAAGCCTCTTGTCCGTCCTGAGTATCGTAAACTTCTGCAAAAGGTAATTTAATTAGATATTTTCTAAATTTTTCGAGATACTCTTGACAATAGTTTCGTTTCATGCAGAACCAATAATTATATGTGCAGGTTTGCTTAACTGGGCATGTCATGAGTTGTGCTTTATGGTCCGAAAGAGCTAATTCACAAAGTTCAGTTTTTCCACCGCGTATATTATGAATAACATTATCTAAACATGTTCCACTTCTGGGTCTTGTGGGCTCTTTAACTGATAATTTAAGATTATAGCTCTCGATCAGCTGGATAAACGAGGTGGTATATTTGGATTTTTTTAAAATATTTACATTAAAGTCTCCGCATACTATAATCTTGTTTTTGTTACTAGATATAATTAGGTTTAGAACATCATCGAAATGGTTCAAAAATGACTGAAAATTTCTTGTAACATGTTTACATTTCGGTACTCTATATACACACAGAATTACTATTTTATGGTCAATCAATTCTATTATTTTAAATTATTTTTTTTATTAAATTATATTTAAATTTTAATTCTATTATTATTGTTATTATTATGAAAACGGGAAAAATGCATCCTTTTGTCTTTTTAATTTGAAACTTGTTCTGTTCCATCTAAATGCAAATTTACATATACGTACTTACTCTGTACTCAGTACTCTTTTCTTGAAGTGAATATTATTACAAGTCTGTTCAAGGTCGACATTTTCATAGAAGAAACAACAAAGAACAAACGTCTGCTAAATTACATCTTACGTGTCTTTAGTTCCCACTCATCTCGTGCGGGTGGGTACACTGTTCGCACTCCGCTGGTGGGCTGCCGCTAATGGCGCGTTTAACGCTCATTACCGCGACGCATCTTCGGTGCAGTAGATGTGTTCCGTGCTGATTCTTGTACGTCACTGGTAAACTATGAAAAAAAGAAAATTTCAACATTATGACTAATTCTCTTCATTTTAAAGCAACACCATTACAAGTGTAATGCTCTTTATGTTTCTCACTTTCAACAAAGTGTCGATAATCTGTCCAACAAATTATAATTCGCAAATGTACGTCCGCCATACTAAATTTCTACTGAAAATTTTTATGACACGTTCAATGTTCTCTGACCTCAACGACACCCCATTGAAAGTCTAGATGTCTAAGCTTTAAAGAGCCCGTATTGGATATTACCTGCGGACACGGTTGAATTCTAGTACGATAAAAATATAACTTTTCAGATCCGACTAATGACTCCCAATCTATATATGTATACAAATTTCCTTTATCACTTTCGTACAACTTCCAGAGCTACTTTAATGACTGTCCAGGGACATCATCGTGCCGCGACATCGTTATTAAGTAGTTGTATAGTGTACCCCTGAGGCGGTAAAAATAATCACAGTGCGGCTTGTAAACAACCCTCTTGGCTGCTCGGGGGCCTTCTGGGTCCCTGAGGGTCACGGTAGGGCAGGAGGGACCTTAATTAACCAATGTTTACTCAGGGCGCGTTCGCCGTGCGACGTTCTCGTATTAAATTATGCATTGTTCAATATTATTTATGTAAATTACTTTCTATTTAACTTTAAACTCCCAGATAAATAAGTTATTGAAGAACCGCGGTTTGCTTTCGTTAACTTCATCGAAACTGCTCTTCTTGGTATTGTTTGTGATTGAAGTTAAACGAAAAAAAATTAGGATGCTTACGAGATTTCGAGCGAGCTCGACAAAATATCAAAATAAACATCTCTACGAGTTAATCATATTATGTAAACATGCGATTAAAAACTAAAGACACAAGCCTGCTTGCCTAATCGTAGTATCTAAGTGTCATTCATATTAATAATGCTACCGTACATGTACTCAGGACTTTAGGGAATGTGATGGTTGTGAGCATGCAATGAAAGTTAAGTTGAAGTGTAGCAGCTCTCCTCACTAGCGCGGTGGTGTAACCGCTTCAGACGGCTAATTGGTGTCTGTAATTAATAACCTTGCTCCCGGCGTCGCACCTCTCGCCTTGTCCTAGGACTTGCCTAAGGCTTCTTATATCAACACGAGTTCTTGAGAATCGAAACTTTATCAGTGTCGTTAAAATTTGTTAAGTTTTATCAATTTCTTAGATTTTCGCTTTACATTGGAAAAGAAACTACTTTTTCGCATCTAAATCGCATATATTTGTTGTTCACTTTGTTATTATAGTGGTTATTTCTTTGTATTTAGTTTACTTCCCGATCCCTATCATAATTCTAATATGAAATCATTGATCACCTACCAGATTCCTCTCGAAATTAAAGTCGTGGAAGTAATTAAAAATTTTTTAAATTCTTACTAAACTCTGGTGGGTCTGTGTTGCTGTTCGGTGTAAGAAGAACCGAGACACCCGAGTATCTCTATTATAAACTTTGTTGGTCTCAGAGCTGTTTAAAGCACAAGATTCGCTATCGACGCAGACTATAGTGCTTGCTCACCTCACAGCAGCGCAGTTTCAGAGGCAGTTTCAGGTTTGCGTCATCCAAGTTCTGGAATGATCTTCGTAACATTTCCGAAGTAGTAAGAATGCTTTTAAGCGCAAGTTGGTAGCTTTATGTAGATATTATATTAGTAATTTGTTTGTATTTTCTTTTTCATACATGGTACTTGTAAGTACGTACAAACACACTCACTCACACAGACTTACACCAATAATATTTTTAAGTATAATTTATTATTTTTATTAAGTAGATATTAATACTTACGTTGTTCCGTGACGTCGTATAATGGTCACAACTCAAAATCAGTGCTAGGAACGCATTGCGTTTTCCAGCAAATAGTAAGTTAGTGACTATTTTGTTACCGCAGCTGGCACCACAGAACGTATCTTTATACTTTGTGTGTTTGCTTATGTGTATTTAAATAAGCTGTGGTTTAATTTAGTTTTCGTTTTGTTTGTGTTCTGTTTCGTAATTATTTAATTGTGTCTTAAGTGTGAATGTTTTTTAATTATGTTTCTCTTCTTATATTTCTGTATTTCTTATTTTTTTCTTGTGTGGTGTCATTTGTGGTATGCAAATAAATGAATTTTCTGTATCTTTTCTAGATACATGTGTCATTTCTCAAAAACTATTGATATTATCTATCATCAATAGTACTTTTCTATAAATACATATAAACTTTAGTTATTTGTTACACTAACATATTTTTTTCGGTTGTTGTGATTTTTTTTATGTTTACTGTATTTACTTACATGAATTGTTTATCGTTGAGGCCTTGCTCCCGTCACGGCATTTACATTTAGCAATTAATTAATTTTGCTTATAATAACTTTGCACGCTCTAATCCAAACTTGGGCTTACCTTTTACCGTCGGCAATTACTCCGCGTCGCCGTTCCTACGTAAGCTCTTTCGCGCCTTTTGTACTTATTTGAAAAGTTGTGCTCGTCACCGAAACTTATGAACGAAATTCCAAATTATTTTGGAGTTGATTCAAATAATGATTTCTCAAAGGTAAAACACGAAACGAATATACGCAATATTTAATGTTACAGACAGTAGACAATCTTTGGTCGGCCGCTAAATAAAAGGAAATACATTTATATTAAAGCGTATAATTATACAGCGGATCCATAATGGGACAACTTATGTGTCGACGTGGACGTTTTTGTTATGGACAAGGTACATGTAGTTTTTCATCGTAGGCAATCCAATAAAGTAAGATTAGAACGAGGCCTGGTAAATAGTTTCAGCAGAAATGGAAAGATATAAAGTTGTTATCGTTATTTCCGCACGCGGTCCAATCACTTCCGTCATTTATTACATATTATACGAGAATAAATGCAAAGTTAAACCGTTTTGTTTCAACGTTTATCCACTTTGATTTCGTTTTCTGAAACGCGTTTGTAAAGTTTCAAGATATACCATTCACATATAGTTACAGACTACTGTACAAGGCATGATTTTAGTCAATAACTTGGTAACCACCGAGTCTGCAATGGAGGCTCAGGTCGCGTCTCAGCAGGCACTGCACGGTCGCGTGCCTGCTCAGCCAAGTTACATTCTATATTATATATGTATAATAAACGTATTGTAATACCAATGAAACGTTCGTATGAATGGACTTTTTTATAATTTCAGTAAATTAATTAGCCTAATTTATTTGGAAAATTTATTATTTTTTCTGTAAAACGTCATTTATACGTAAGTAATCATATGTAACGTAGCTTGTTAGTAATTTCTTGTAGGTAAGTCCCATCACGTATTTCTGATTGTTGCAGGCCTTTCCCCCGCAATATGCTCCGAATGGAGCAGCTCCCGGTCCCCCGCACCTCGCGAGCCCCCCTCGGTGCTCGCGGACGAGGCCGAACTGTTGCGAGACGCTCCACTCTACCCCCCGCTTCGACCACACCCCGACGACCAATATGACCAGTACAACCAATACGAGGACTTTGAAACCAACATTGAGGAGAACAGCATTCTGGTGACGCCGGAAGATATTATCGCCACTCGTAATAGTGACGAAAATAACGACTGTAACGCTAACGCCAGTGATGGTGACGACGTCAACGAGCCCATAGAAAAGAACGAAGATCGCACGAAAAGAAGCAGTGGCCAGGAGGAGGAGCACGGTTCAAAGGTGATAAGGTTTCGTAATGAAATTCATCTGTGACAGTGCAGCGCCCCGACGAAAGCAATGATTGCACTTTGTTATTTACGGAAAACAACTTGTCAATGTGCCTGGAAATAACTATTCGTTAAAGATAGTCATATCTTGGAGAATCTTTTAATGTTTTTACCCGACTACGCTAAAGATAAAAGTGTTACGAATTTAGTAGCGCATGTTCGTATGTATGCAAGAGACATTCTACGAGCATATTTTGCGCCCATTCGATATCTCTGTACCCTTACATTTTGTTTTTAGTTACACCAACTATACGAGCAACATTGAAACAAGCAAGTTATTATCAATATTTTATGTGACTCAAAATAAAATTTAAGGTTTCGATTTTTTTTTGTATAATCTTATTTTGATTTGTTTTTAAATGTTGTTTTTAATTCGTAAATAAATAATTATTTTGTAATTTCAAGACATCGTTGAACCGTCGCGTGAAAACGGGTGACACAATCCTGAACATACGCGGCGCCGTCCGCGACGCAATCGGCGACGCCAGCGCTTCGCCCGGCCCGCGCGCCTCCTCGATCCTCGATGCCTTCGTCATCCGACCGCATCCTGTGCTCAGGCTTCCACTGCAAGACGAGCCATACGCTGCACCGTCTACGCATGTACTATCGCCTTAAGGGTTTAATTTATGGTCTTATTGTTTTAAATAGTGTGCAAGGCCACAAAATATTGCGTAGATCTGTGTCAACGGATCCTTCCTTTGTAAGACGACGACGATTCTGGACGTGGAAATAATCATATCAAAAGTCCATGTGCCTCAAACAATTCATGCGTGTGTCCAGTTGAAGCCGGTAATCGTTTAACAGCATTTATTTCTTATCGAGTACGTTAACTTCATGACTAGAAATCCAGTAGTGTACTAGTTTCTTCAAAAACTACAGCCGTAGTGTGGAACAAACTCCCAAAGTAAACCGGACCGTTGTTATTGCTTAAAGGTGCCAAACTACGACCGCGAACTTCTTGTGAAAGCGCATACCCAAGCTAGAATTCTTTGCGAGCTCAACAACGTCACCAGTCTTCGATGGTATAAGGACAACGAGGTTAGTATATTTAATTTTAATTTCATAATTGTTTAATTTAATAAGTTTTAATAAAGTAATAATAAGGATAAGTAATAAGTTTTAATAAGAAGTGGAAACAACTTAGTTCGATATGATTCGACCTTTTAGAGTAGGAACAGGTTCCCAGCTGAGAAAACGGAGTACACATTTTGAATGAAAATACACATGATACACTTTCGTCTGTAGTGCACCTAAATGTTTATCACAAATAACCGTACATTTTCCTTCTCATTGTCCTCTTTGTCGAGACAACATAATCCAGCTGCACTGAAATGTGATGCTAACATTAATTGTTGGGCAGCAAATAAATGCAGCATCTTCTGCGAGCGGCGGCGAGGCGCTGTGGCAAGAAGGAGAGGTGTTGGTGATCGCGCGCGCGACGAGGGCGGATGCGGCCACCTGGCGCTGTTCCGGACAAGACACAGCCGGGAAGACGATCTCCGGGAAGCCTACGTATCTACTTATCTATGGTGAGTCCGAAGAGTGTCACGCTTGCCGATTTAGTCGATTAATAGCGGGACCAAACAGCAATCGTATCCAAATGTACCAGCTACGCTCATTTGTTTCTATAGTTCTAACCAGGTTTTGACTGCAGATTCTGTACTGTATAATATACTAATGCTACGAGTTTATGAAAATTGTACCTTTATATATATGTATGTCAAATATATAATAATAGTAATAGGAGAGCAGGAGTGGTAAAACGGTAATTAGTTTCATTTTAAACTGTTGGTCTTTCTAATAAATAAATTTAAAATTGTGGTTGCTTCTCAATTGAGAGGTCGATGGCTCCAGGCCTTGCGACGGCGTGTGCCTATGACTGAAATAATAGTTAATACTATACCTCTCGCCAATAGTGCAGGAAAACATCGTAGTGAAATCTGCAAGTCGAGGAAGGTTCACAACTCTTGGAAAACATGTGAAACCCCTCCTAGACTATAACGTCTCGGAGGAGACCCATGTCCAGCAATGAGTTGATGCTGGAGGTAACGATGATAATAAGACAGTGCCTAGTTGTACCGTCAGGGTAAATTTTGAGATTTCTTCGTGTACTTATCTTTTAAGAATGACATACTTTTAGGTACCTCCCAACAGCAAATTAAATAAACGAACGATTATCATACTGCACTAACAGTAACCGGCCATTCGTCTTATTGTGTCTCCCCAGAACCAGTTCGTTCAGTATATCTGTCAGTCGATGGGAGGCGTCTGGACGCCGGGAACACGTGGATACCCGTCAGGGAAAAGGCCATCCTCGAGGTGCGCTGCGTCGCCGAAGGTATTTACTTTGTTGCCTTGATAGAGTCGCGTCGAGCTTTCAGCGCTCTGTACTTTTAATATTAAGGAACCCCAGCTCTATCAGCCGTATTAATGAGCACAAGACACCATTTCAGCGGTTTTAATTCCCAAATTAATTTGCCTTTTTGTAATTTGCCTCAACGCCATTCCCCATTCCACATGGTTCGTTTACACTGTCTGTTGTTAAATTACAGGCGGAGTGCCTCCCCCGGAAATGAGCTGGAAACTGATCTCGCCCGATGGCACGCTCGATCCCCGCCCTTATCTTCGCACGCATTACACCAACCACTCCATAGGTTTGTGATGACAAAGTATTACTTGCACGAGAACCTAACGACTTTTATTTCAAATTAATTTTTGTTTGAGGAAGGAATTAAGGGAATTTGAGAAAAGTTTGCAACTACTTTCAGACCAGTCGTAACTAGTGAATTGCATCGAAGTCGCTAAGGCGTATTTTTAAGGAACGTTTCAGGCTCGAAGGATACTGGATGATCGTTTTAGAACAATGCAGAATATAGCAAATATATGTGGATGACCTACGTATTTGTCAAACTTGTAGGTAATTGTCGAAGAAAGTACTCTCCTCGGAAACCAGCCAAAAAGTAAGTTCTTAACGAAACGTCGCTCTGTTCCTGGTTTTGTTAGAGGGCATGGCGTGGTCGCACGAGGAGATGACAACGGCGCGTGAGCTGCACAACGCCTCGCTGATATGCTCAGCCGACCAACGGCAACCGAAGCAGTCGCAGCCCGCCCCCGCCGCTGCCGACGGCGCCCTCACGGCCAAACTCGAGATCCGCGTCACTTGTAAGAATCACATTTTTTTTGCTCAAAATAGAATGAAAGTAGATGGAACTCTGATAGTGCCCATATTCTCCTAAACCTGGCGTGCAAAATTGCACCTTAATTTAATCGAATTATAAAGGCAACAAAATGTCTATTGGTAAGACATGTACAAACAGATGTGTTTAAAATACAAATAATTAGTCAATCAATAGTAATAACAAATGTGTTATTGTTAATACAATAAATAATTATTAATGTCAAACCTCAGGAACAATTTTTATGTCAACATGAAACTTTGTCCTTAGGACACACTCACAGTCTATTCTCGAACATATTAATTGGTAAAATTTAAATGTCCTTTGGTAAGAACATTACATATTTAGATGCTGTACGTAACACGCATGTACAATCTTGTAGGATCAGCGTCACATCGATTGACCGGTTTAGGTCAACGCCATTGACTTACAATTATAGTCAACGCACTCGAAATGAATAAAAGACGGAATGCACGCCGTCTCACGTTCGGTCCTTCATTTATCATTTTAGCAGTTATTCTTAAAGATAAAATTCCCAAATCTTTAAATATAGGCGCACACATAGTGAAATCCCTGTCATTAGCCCAACACAATTTTTAGAGTTATAAACAAGTTCTTACAATCAGTTCATAATTGTACCCCAACTGAAAACTGTAGATTATGATGCATTTTGCAACCTCCTCAAGACGTACTCGTAACCTTGTCACTTGTCTTTATAGTACTGACTCTACGTGTTGCGACCAGTTGCTGCTACTATCTATTTCCACGCCGAAGAATAATATCCAGTTTGCTCCCTGAATACTAAAATTGTTTCAATATACTATCAAATTTAATTTAGTTTGTCTAAATTAAATGAATTTAGTTTTTGTGAAAGTAGTTTTAGTGAAAGCAATTTCAGTGAGACTTGGTGTTTGCCAAACTAGAAAAAAAAACTTTGATCTGCTACCAGAACCGCTGTCGCCAACACACACTATCACAATGTTAAACACTATGAAATCTTGATAATGATGTGTCGAAGTTTCTAATTTGAAAAAGTGTAACAAATTGTGGCCTATTTATAAAATTTTAATTTTACACTATTGTATGTCGTATCGTTGAAAATTCAATTCCTATTTATAATTTCCAAGTTACGAAAACACAGGCAGACATGACATTAACTATGACCATATTAATGATACCCTCTCTAAGGTAGTTTATTGGTTTAATGCTGACAATTTATTGCTTAATGCCCAGAAAACATGTAAAACATGGCAAAATGTGTTAAATTTGAATTACGTAACGTAAAATCGACTAGTCCAAGCATAGAAATAAACGGAGAAAAGTTAGACCTTGTTAATAAATCAGTCTTCTTAGGAGTGACCATAGATAGTAAACTTCAATGGTTTCCACATATATCTTCCCTGGCCAACAGATTGAGCTCCGCTGCATACGCAGTCCGCAGAATACGTGAGCTTACCGATGTTGGTACTGCTAGACTAGTTTACTTTAATTACTTCCATAGTATAATGTCCTACGGGATTCTCATGTGGGGTAAAGCGGCAGATATTCAAACTATATTTGTATTGCAAAAACTAGTCTAGGCTCTCGGGTTTCTCTCAGAGAAAAGTTTAAGGAGACTGGTATCATGACTGTGGCATCACAGTACATTTACTCAAATATTTTATATGCCCGGAAAAATATACATAATTTCAATAAGAAAGAAGATATCTATAATACATATTAACCTTAGAGCTAAGCCCAAACTCATGGTACCACGATTTCGTTTAACCAAGGTAAACAACTCTTTTATGGGGAACTGAATACGTTTTTACAATAAGATTCCGGAGCATATATTAAGTTTATCATTTCCTAAGTTTAAAAACTACATTAAAAATATTTTGATCGAAAAATCATATTACAAAATCGAAGACTACGTGTTAGATAAGGATGTTTGGAAAGACGACACGGCTCCAGAATCCACACAAATTTGATTCAAAGTGGATTCCATAGCATTTAAAGAGTTTTTTGCTTCTTCTTCTCAGGGAGGTCAGCGTAGTGAACGAGCAGTAGCTTAAATGTGACGTTTTCAAAAATAAATTTATTTTACCTATGGAATAAATAGACTTTGACGATGTTCTGAAATTTTTCAATGTGCTACCATCTAGCGGTTAATAGCTAAAAAACTTTTTGATCGAAAAATACCGACAATATATATTAAATCGATTATTTCATGAAAAAATATCGATACTTTGATATATCTTTCTTTTTTACTCAAGCCGCTCAGTCCGCCATTTTCGTTAATTTGCTTTGTATGTTATGGACGTGTCAATTATTTATATTATATAATATATTATGTTATATCGTTGAAAAATGTCTCATTTTGCTACTTTCAAAAATATTAGAAAAATATAATAAAAATAATAATCTCGATATTTTTTTAGTATCAATTTCGATGTTTTTCTCAGCAGCCACAGCAAGTGCTATGTGAATATTTATAAACAATACCAATTACATGGTGTGTGGAAAAATATAAATAGGTAGGTATGTACAAGAATATAAAATTATAAAATAATACCATTGCTGGTATTGGGTACTCTTGGCAGAACCTCCTAGCCGAATTAACATGACGGTTAACTCTTTTCTCTCTACATCTTGCAACAGGTGACCATGACTACTTTTTACCTGATCTTTCTTTAGTAAAATTTTCTATAAATTCAACACGTCGTGTATATATATTTTGGAAATATGTGTTGGTTACGACTTACTGACTTTGAGAAAAATATCGAAATATTAAAATATATTTCTCTGGATCAATTTCGATATTGTTTGTAAATATTAAAACGATATATGTCGATTTTTTTTTCAATTGCCCATCTCTACTGAACCCAAGTTTGCCGAACTCCGCGTACTGTTGGCACGCCTGTCACGCCCACTAATCACTTCTATTATTATTATTAAACAAAGATCAAACAAAAAGAAAAATTCCTTTGACCCGACACGACACGAAAGTTTCCTTACTCTTCCAACTGAGGTACAGGTCGAGTTAACAGGTTGACGAAATTCTTTTTGTGTCTGTTATAGATCTCTGTCTTGAGTTTTTTGGCTTTCGTCGTCGTGTTTGGTCTTTGTATAAGTAATTATAGCAAAGTGAAGTTATTTTACGGAAAATATATGAACATTACACTTCTTTTGTAACTATAGTGGAAAAATAGGGTGGTTTGCATTAATATTAGACATAACCGATTGATGACTTTACCACCTCAGTCAACCGTGACTGTGGGAAATGTAAAGGGCCTGAGCGGTTGGTTTGTTTTGAAAAACAAATATACGCGATTTAAATCCTGAAAAATAGTTTCGTTTCTTATGTGTAACAATCGTGAAAACTAAAGAACTCGATACACTTGTATTTATTGTTCCGTGGTGTTTGCAGACCCGCCGTCGTTCGTGATCTCGCGCTGGCCGGGCTTCGGCGTGGCGCTGATGGCGGGCGCGACGGCGGCGCTGCGCTGCGACGTCGACGCCAACCCGCCCGCGCGCGCCTGGTGGCTGCGCGACGACGCCCGCACTAACAGGTGCTCCTCCACTTGGACGCTTTATTCAACAGAGGATTCTATAGCTCATTCGGCTACCGTTTCGTATGTCAAAAAGGCATCAAGGTTTAGCCAGCGGCGTAAATACCAAGAAATTATTTCCTTTAGTGCACGATCACTACGGAAAAGTCTTGGTGTTATTGGAAAAATACGTGGATTTACCTTCAATACAAGATTACCGGCCGATGTAAAATGATCTCTTCTTCTAGTTCTCCACCACCTGATAACAACGCCGCGGAAGCACCAGGCACGGCAACGTTACGCTGGGCGGAGCTGCGCCCGACGCACGCCGGGTGGTACCGCTGCCGCGCCACGTGGCACGACACAGAGTACTCCTCTATCGGGTACTACCTCAACGTGATGCGTTAGTATCTACTCGCCCACATAACTCTCTTCCAGCGTGACCACCGCAACCGTATTCTCATGTAGTCTCGGTACGCGGGAAGAGAACCCTTTTGAGCAATTTTAAACCTTACATCGCTAGTAAATATATCGCGTCCAACTTTTACGTCCCGCAAATAATACACATGCCAGAGTGGCTGGAATTTTGTCGACTGATACCACTGTTAGTAGTTGTACATCAAAACTACACGGCAGATACTTAAGAATGAACTCTGAAGCACATGTTGTCGATTACGTGTACAGCGCCAATGGAGGGCGTGCCGCCGCCCACGGCCCAGTCGGTCGATGAGGAGCCAGAGCATCAGAAGGTGGAAGTACCGTTGGGCGGAAATGTTCAGTTGACCTGCCCCAAGGGTAAGCCATTTTGCTCTATGTTATCGATGACATTACAAATACCTGAGCGTCTGGACTCTGAGACACAATGAACTAGATATAATTCTATACTGAGATATATGCAAAGGACTACAGTCTTATGTTGTCAATAGTAAGTATAATTAATTGGATGTTAGCTGCCACAGAGTAAAACTATCACAACGAGCAAAGTTTCTTCATTCATTAGCGAATATCGTGATTAAAAATATTCGCTCTTTCCAAAAAGCACTGCCAACATCCTTTGACAAAAAGTTGCATTACCGTTGACGTAGTTCGTACGGCGGTGCTATGGCATGTGACCTTGTGAATTGTAGCTGTGTTTAATAACGAGATACCGTTGAATGTAGGACAAGTTGAAGCATGTGAGTGGTGTTTCAGGCAGCGTGGGCTGCTGGTGGCGCCGCGTGGTGGGCAACGCCAGTGCCAGCGGGTGGCCGCCCGACGCACCCCAAGGCGGTTGGGCCCCCGCGGGCTCCCGGCACGCGCACGGCGTCTTAGGTAACGCCTTTACGAGCCATACAAACAACGCTATAAAGGAGACCCGCTCCGTATTGTTTACCTTTGGCACTTACTTTACTTATTGAAAACGAAATAGAGATAAACTGTATTTTGCTAATTGTTGACTCTCGTTCCCGTAGGCATCAAGGACGCGATGTACCAGGAGGGAGGAGAGTACCACTGCATCGGCGCGCGCGCACCCGATGTTGACAGGATACGGGAGCTCAAACGAGTCACGTTGAAAGTTACCGGTTAGAATTTTTCAAGGTTTATTCGAATATAATAAAAATATTGAGATGAAAACCTGGCTACGGCAAATAAGTAATGCAAGTATCAAGTTTGAAAAGAAGAGTGATGTTTACATATCAAAACCTGAAATTTTACAGTTATAAAAAATGAAATTTCAAATTACATTCTCGTAAGTGTACTGCGACGCTATGTAAATTTCTTTAATTTTATTTCTCAGAGGCGCACTAGGGCCCAGTTTGTAAATTGCCGTTACAGCACGCAAGATAAATATTCTACTTATTATTAATGTCGGTAGCGTTTCCCCAAAATCGAATGCCTTATTTTGGGCGTGCATTTTAATTGGCAGAGCTTAGTTCCCAATTTTTGAACATAGGGACGTTTGTACATTGTTCACGATTTGTCCAACAGCGGCTGAGCAGAAGACGGAGGACCGTGTTGCAGAAATGCTTTGTCATTCGACATACGACGAACGATGTGAACGTTCTTTCACAGATTTATGAAAACTATGCCGGAAGTGTACCTGCCATCGACATACTTTCAGCCGAAGGACGTCCTCCACTTCTATGCAGATCTCCTCGAAACATCGCCACGAGGAGCGGTCTAGTGTCCCTTGAGTTACACATTTTTAGACAAACTTGTACCTACCGGCGGGGACGAGCGTCAACTAAACTAAAAAAATACTATCGTAGGACGTATAAAAATACAGAAACTGTTCCCAAATAGCTAATCATGCCTTAGGAAACGGTTAATGCGAAACTGTAATAAGACAGACCCGTAGACGTCGAGCTCGTTAAAATTCAGGCCAGGCGTCGATCTGAAACGCGCAGTAAATCAAATCAAATCAAAATAACCTTTATTTCATAGGTAAGCATTATTACACTTGAAATCTCACATTGGTTAAACTCTACCACTCATTCGTATGGCAGATTCCCCTGGGAAGAATGAGCAAGAAACTCTAGGGGTTGCTCTTTGTAAACGCATTTAACATTTACAATATATATACGAGTATTTATCTGCTTTCAAACATAAATCGAGACTAAATCCATAAGCTGAACGGGTTACTACCTCGGATTTTTGTCATGCCAGTACGCATCTTACCTTTAGTATAAAGTTTTTGTTTCACTATACTTTTAAACCTCCTGAATGGCAAATTTTGAGTATCAACCGGAATCTTGTTATAGAAGTGTATACATTGCCCCTTAAATGAATTTGTCACTTTGTGAAGACAACTATCAAGAACAACTAATTTATTTTTATTCCTCGTATTGGTGACAGATGTAACCATCTGTCACTATTTTTCATAAGAGATTACTATTCCTCTTAACATAAATTACATTTTCATAGATGTACTGTGACGCTAGTGTAAGAATATTAATTTCCTTAAACTTATCTCTCAAAGATACTCTGGGGCCCAGATTGTAAATTGCCCTAACCGCAAATTTTTTGCAGGACAAAAATTCTAAATTATGCATCAAATATATGTTTCATCAACTCAACACCAGGGTCGGTTATAGAGCGACCCCGAGTGAAACCAAATTGTTTAGGAGACATTAAGTTATTACCATAAAAATGTGCACACATCTGATTTAGGATCATTTTTTCAAATATTTTACTGAGAGGTGGTAGTATTGATATAGGTCTGAAATTGATGGGGTCTGACATACTATCAGATTTGAAAAGTGAAATTTACTTTGCTTCATGAGGTGACGAAACACTATCATCAACACATTTGTTAAAGACACAGGCTAAATAAGGTGCAATACAATCAACTATAGAACTAGTTACTCTGACTGAAAGACCATCAAGGTCAGCAGTATTTTTTATGTCTATAGACTTTAAGGCTTTAATTATAAATGCATGACAGAACCTTAAATTAGTAATACTAACTGCATTATTATCTTTTAGTGAGAATTCAGCGGCTGTGGGGGATGAATTCAACGACTTAGTAGTCAAAATTGAAACGTCAGTAAAATAATTTTCAAATATATTAGCAACTTCTGCGTCTGTGTTTACAATTTTGTCATTAAATCTTACTTTAAAATCTATGTTACGAGGTTTGACCCTTCCAGTTTCGCTGTTTATAATATGCCAAGTCGTTTTTACTACATTCGCGCTGCTTTTAATTTTATTATTTTTATACATTGCATTGGCTGCAACACAAACACGTTTGAACATTTTCGAATACTTCCTAACAAAATCATTAAAACTGTTACTAGTGTTATATATAGATCCTTCCATCGTAGAGATCATATAGCCTTTGTCTACTTTTATGAATTTCCACAGTCGCCCAATCACTAAATTTGAATGAATTATTAATGGTTATGAATTTGGACTTAAAACATTATCACGTTCAGTTTTCACTATGTTGAAAACTGAATTATACAATTTATTGGGATCGTTAACGTACGGAATGTCAGTTAGTTTAAGCATTACGTTATTTCTATAAGCTTTAAGTCGACCATTGTTTATCGGAACACATGTGATATCCTTTTTTGGCACTTTATCAACAGTTATATTAAAAGTGGCCAGTTGCCCGCAGTGATCAGACGTTAATTTATTATAATAGATTTATTACTAGGCACGGCGTTAGTATAAATGTTGTATAAACAAGTGGCTATAGTAGAAGTTATTCTAGTAGGCACCAAGAAAAGATTCTCAAGATTATAGCATTGGAAAAATCATATGAGCCTACTGCTAGCACTAGAATCTTCCAATAAGTTAAGATTGAAGTCACCACAAACAGCAATATATTTATTTGGATTGTTTAATTTGCCTAAAACTTCATCTAATATTTTTTCAAATAAAACGTAAGATGAATGAGGGGATCTGTACACGCTTAATACAACAATCCATTCAAGTTCTATGCAGGCTGACAATATCTGAACGATCTTTGAATTAAATTACAGTATAATTAAATTACTTTTTCATAAGAATTAAAGAGCCGCCATGAATAGCTTTTTCTCTGTTGAACGAACTAGCCACCTGGTAATTGTTGAAGCTGAACATGAACTGATGTTTAGATAAAAAGTGGTGCTCAGTAATACAAAGAATATCAATATTATTACAGTTAATAAATAATTCTATTTCTATCTTTGCCTTTCATGCCTTGAATATTTTGGTACGCCAAGTGTAATATACAATTTGTTTTATTTCTATGACTTTTAGGTTGGTTTTTTACTGTCACTGTATTGCAAGAGTATTTCTCCGTTGTCTTATAAATTCTTTTAAATAATTGGGAATTGAATTATTTTTAACAGATTGATTAATGTCAGTACACTAACCTATGTCAATGGACTTGCTCAATAGAAGCAGCCGGTCTGGTAGCCGACGATTTGGCTGAACTGTTAATATAATATGATAGCAACTCTGCTATCTGTCCCCTAAAGAACCAATAATATAATGCCTATCTTTAGTCAAATAAAAATATTTACTAATAAAATTATTAGTATACATAAAATGAAATTTACTATAATGAAATGTCAAGCTGTTTAAGTTATGCCTAATGCTATTTTCACTTGTTGTGAGGCTATTGCTGAAGGGAAAACCGAACAAAATAATTTCTATTATATTAATTAAATTATTTAATTGTGAAAAACATAGCATTCAATCTTTTTTGTTAGATTTTCCTTCTCTGCCAATTAATATTATTAAGGTAGTGTTTTGCTCAAATTTACTTGACAAGATGCTATCTAATATTTTACAGGAAGTTGCACTTGGCATGAAAATGTTTCTTAATTTAAGTCCTAGGTGGTTAAGTTGCAAACCTACATTTTTACCCATTTTATCACTGTATATAAGAATATATTGAATTCCGTTTGAGCTAGGTGCGGACAAGGAGGATTTTTTAAATTCCATACAAGGTTCTGCACTAGCAATAGGGAGGGATCAGTGACATACACGGGGGAGGAAGATTGTGTTTTTGTTTGTTCACAGTTACAAATGTGATTGCTTGTTAAATAACCTAATCTATTATTATATTTACATAAATCTAACAACTTATCCGTAGCCAATGTGTGTTCCTTAATTACCTGTTGTGCTATTTCATATTTTTGAGTCATGAACTGTAATTAATTTATTAACCTATCTAATTCTGACTGAAGACGCTGTGTGTCACATACATAACTTTGCCTATTTTTTTCAAGGCTTAGAGCACAATCTCATGCAACAAGTTCTGACGTCATTTTCTTAAAGTTATATTTTTACAAAATGCTGCCTTTTTCTTTATTAATTTGTTTGTACTGGAAATATATGTATTAATTTTAACATATTTTTTTATTACAATTTGCAGTTAAAGCTGTTGAATTTAATCAGTGATCTTCACAAGTCAAATCAATAGTGATTGTTTCTAATTTGGTGGGTGTTACAGCAGAGACCTTAGTGGGAGCGCTGCTGACCAGCTCATCAAATAGGGACTGCACCTGCGTTGCTGATGTTCGTCTTTCGCTTGTTCCTATACCATTCGCATCGCGTAGGTCACATTCTAATGAAGATATGCGCGCAAGGGCCTCTTCAAATGCACGACTGTTTTGGTCGAATCCATCTACCACTAGCGGCAAATTGGTCTTTTTGATGCTGTACCTCCGTACCTACTGTGTTCGAGCCATTCTGCCATAACACTTTTTAACTGCCTATTCTTTTTTTAAATGTCCACTATTTCCTTTTCACTATTGTTTCTTTCCGTTAGTAATTGCTTATTCATTGTCTTTGCTGTTTTCATTTCTTGCAAAGTCAATTGGAGTTTATCCGCCAATTGACTTGAAGTGAAGCTGAATTGAAGTGACCTGAAAAATGCACATGAATGTCTCTAACCAATATATTTACTGGCATAAATTATGTATAAAATAACTTTATTGGTAAATCTGCCTCGCTACCACGGATATTATTTCTTAAAAGACACTTTTTAAACAAGTTCACCGCGCCGGTTAACCTAACGGCTTCACGTCACTCTGGTCACTAACGAAAGTGTTAACTCGCTGCGCGTACACGTAAACAGTATATAAATAGAATTTGTCGGGATATTATCGAGTCACGAGACGGGTTTTCACTAGAACGACACGGAAAAGTATGAAGCGATTTCACAAGACCACGGAGCCCTACGGCCGCCAGTTAACCCGTCCGTCCGCGCAGGCGGCGCGACGGCCACGGCGCTGAGCGCGGAGCCGGCGGCGGGCGGCTGGCGCCTGGAGTGCGGCGCGTGCGGGCGCCACGTGCGCGTGCTGTGGCTGCGCGGCCCGCGGGGCGCCGCGCCCGCCG